AAAAAAATTGGTATTTTGTTGTGTTTTGGGGAATTTAATTAAATTTGTCACTAAATATTGGGGTTTAATAAGGAGTTGCGCTAATATTGCGCAACATAAAAATTTGCAACTACCACCATTTTATTCTATAGGGTCTTGGCATTCAGAAAATATATAATGTTGGGGGGTTTTAAGTAATTTTCAGGCCTAAAATGTGGAATATAACATGGGTACACAAAATGAAAAAAAGGCCTCAGTCATGAAGGGGTTAATGTCATTTAAAATAAATACTATACAGCAGGGAAAGGGTCATTTTAATGTGTTTTCATTACATGCCTTATTTTAGGCCAACTGACATTTTCACTGGGGCTATGTGCTTCTCTGTGCATTGCAGACAGATTATGGCTGCTGGAAAGTGCCAGAAAGGTTCCCAAAAACATTACAACTCCTCAGTCCAGATGCAAGAAGTGGGCTTGCTCTTGGGAGGAGTTGTGCAAATATCAAAATCAGCATTCAGTCTGGAGAAGATTAGTCCTAGGCTGGCTGCATTTGCATGCAAACTGCCCTAAAATTGGTGGAAAAAAAATTCCAGCACAAGGGGTGAAGGGGGTTCTTCACAGTAAGAGTGGTTAGGGTCTGGAACTCACTACCACTGGCAGTGATTTCAGCTAAGAGTGTGGAATCGTTCAAGAAACCTTTGGGCGATTTCCTGAGGGCCCGTAACATACAGGGGTACAAGTACTCCTAAGAATGAGATGTTGTAGGTTGGGCTTGATGGACTTTATCTGACCTCAAATACTATGTAACTATAATACCCACATTTAAAGCTGAGCCTCCATGATTGAAAGAACTGAAAGCCAATGAATGAACATCAAGGCTGGAGAGGAAGGAGCTTAAATAATGCTGGATGGGATTTCTAGCTGGTAAATGAGGTGGGTTCAATCAGACTTGATGCAGCTTCCAAAGTAAGCCTAATTAATTCAGGGGAGAAACCTGGAGAAACTATAAGTTAAGGCTTGAGTACTCCTAAATTAATGTACATCTGTTACAAATTACCATTTAACCAGTTGACATCCGCGGTGTTAAACCCCCTTCCCATCCAGGCCATTTTTCAGTATTCAGTGCTGCGGTACTTTAACTGACATTTATTCCGTCATGCAGCGCTGTACTGAAATGAATTTTATACCCTTTTTTGGGGACAGATAGAGCTTTCTTTTGGTGGTATTTATTCACCACTGGGGGTTTTATTTTTTTAATATATTAAGGAAAAATTACCGAAATTTTTACGGTCCCGTCCGTCCGTTTTTCTACTACGGACAGACAGCAAGAGGTTAATGATTAAAAAAACAAAACATGTTTATGTTGTGGAATGCAGTAACTAAAATACTTACGTGAGACCTATGATTATTTCCTAAAACGTTATCCTTTCGTGAGAAACGGTCTATTCCCACAGGAAGGAATCTGTCCTGGAGGCACAACATAAAACGAGAGGAAGTTTATCTGAAGTTTGGTATACTAGCCTTTCTTAGATCGCTGTCCCCAGAACAGATATCCCCATTGGTACATTCTTCCCCTCAACTCCTACTCTGGTGACAAATGTTTGACATCTCATCACTTTCTGTCCTGTTTACCATTGCCACCTGTTTATATAAAGTGGGAAAAACTTCCACCCAGCGACAACAAAAAAAATAAAATTGAACCTATTAGATTCTACAAAATGTGTGCACTAACCACACAGAAAAAATGCAAACCCCCTGCAGATCTAAAAAGTACATGAGCTTAATCTTCCAACCAACTTTTGGATACATAACTGTCAAGAGTGGACCACCTGCAGTGACTCACTAACTCGAGCAGGGTCCCTGTTTGGTGGAGGAGGAGAGCATTCTGGGCAGATAAAAAACTGGTGTAAAACAACTGTCACAGCCTTAATACCATTGGTCAACACCAGCTAATTTTGGATAAGCGACTCATCCAAAGTTAGGTGGCTGGACACAAACAGGCAGATAAAAATCTGGCATAAAATCTGGTTCACTTTAAGGGCTACGGAGCAGCTAAGTGATTATCACAAGCTATCCTAAATGCCAGACTCCTTGCGTTATCACTTTCCCACTGTCCACACACACACACCAGACACATGACTTAGGGTAGCTTTCCACTACATGCAGTTTGTCAGGCGACTGATCCACTAGGCACACACACTTGGCAGATCTGGAGCAAACAAGAAAGAAAAGTCAATGAGAAAAAAAATCATGAGAACTTTGTAGACCAATGCTAAATTAAAGCAAAAGTAACCAAAAAGGTAGAAATGATCAAACACATAATTTATCGGTTGGCCCAAATCAATCAACTGAACTAGCTATGTGGAATGAAAAACTGTGCAAAAAAACAACCATAATACAAAAATTAAGTATCAACAGATGTATTGGTTAAGATTTCATATCCCAAACCACAGAAAATTAGCATATCAATAAGACAAGAGGTGCTTATCAGAAAGGTATTTCCCCAGGCAAATATGTCACAAGTGTTCCAGATGCGTTTTCCAAGCTCTTTTCAAGAGGATAATGGAGACAAGGTACTATCGTCATCATCCTCAGTTGACTGTGCAAGGGCTGCTGCAGCTATCGGGAAGTCAGAGATTGACTCATGAGGAGAGAATGTAGCCATTAGTTTGCATCCCCTGCACTCTAATCAGCTAACATGGCTAATGACTTCCCCATAAATTCCCACATTGTGGGAGTGTGTTCCTCCCTGCATCATACAGAGGAGGGAGCAACCCCAGAAGGGGTGAAGGATAACCCTGAAGAGTGCCGAGACCTAGGCAGGGGATAATTATCAGAGCTGTCTGTGGCAAGGTCTTCGGAAGGCAAGGACTGCGGGACCGGAACCTTGTATGCAAGTCCCAAGTGGTACTCTTAGTCACCTGTGGTAGCAGGATGTGTTATTGCCATTTTTGACCTCGTCACTGGAGGCAGAAAAGAGGTCAAAGGAACACTGTAGATCTTAGTGGTGATGCAGAAGATGGTGAGGAGGCAGGTGCTTAGAGGTCCACACATGCTCCACACAAAATGGATCACACATGTACAATATGCCAGCTTTTAAGGAGACTGCGCAGATTCAGAGACCACTATACTGGGCTCACTGCCCATGCATAACACTAAGGAACAAAGTAAAGATGTGCCACTCCCATAGTAGGTGTAGGACCAAA